ATTATATACCAACCAACAAACAGCTCCAAATGTGCCACTAATCCCTAGTAGAGATGGAGCATGAGGCCCAGGAAACATGAAGTAACTATGAGTCCAGAACAGTTCATCATTCTGTCAGACCACCTAGTCACAAGGTTAGGCTCTGCCAGCATCAGTCATCTTATGATGCAGGTATTACATTTTGGATTGAGCACAAGCAGGGCCAGAGAACATAAGCAAGCCGATGATGGGAAATCTTTGGGCAGTGTACTGGTCATCCACTTTGTGCAGAGAGAGCAGTGGACCAAGGCAAGGATATAAACTCGTGGGAAGTGACAATTGACTTGGCTAGTTGATGGGGGACTGCAGGAGATGGATTAGAAAACTGTGTACAAATCTGGGGAAGAGGCATGTGGGTAGGTATATGGTAAAGTACATGAAGAATGATCTTTGTATCACATGTATCACATGTTAAGGCCCACCAGAGAGCATTCACCCCCAGAAGAGGCATTTAACATCCACGTGGACAGAATAACCTGGATGTTTGATGTCAGCCAACCTCTACTACTGGATAAACAGGTGCTGGTACAATTGATTTATATAAAGAGAGAAGCCACACAAGGATCCAACTGCTGACTCAGCTACTACTATAGCCAAATGTCCCACCTACTAACAACAAAAACCAATGCTGAGTCCCTGATACAACACTATCTCTTAAAGACATCAACCAACTACTTAAGTTTATTTTAGGGGACTCTCTCAATGCTGGAAAGGGCAGCAATTCAACTGGTCTGGAATTGCCACATATCCCAGGTAGAGTTTACTTTATCTGCCCACAGAGCCTTAGTCAGTACCACTACCTGAGAACTTACAAAGATGAAATCCTATGAGGATAAAGTGCCATTCTTCACCAACATAAACTCTATTTAGGGCCCCAGGTGACTAACTGGGACTTTGCTGCCCACTTTGGGTAATAAATGGACAAGTGCTTCAGCCATAGCCTGAGGAAGGCATGGCGAGCAAGGGCATAGACCCCTCAGATATGAGAGACTGATTCAGCCCACCAGTTAAGCCCCTTAGACTTGCAGAGGGGCCGGGTGAGGGTAAAGGGAGTCTAGAATGGGTAGTAAAAGGATATGAGAGGTGACCTTCACACCAGCTGTAGAGGCTAGGGTTGCATTGCATACTACTAACCTCCCTCTTTTAAGTTTCCAGAAAAAGAGACCAACCAGAATCCTGGAGATTTTCCCAGATGGTGCAAATGTTCTACATGAAGCATGATCTGAGCATTCCAAGACGTGCATTCTAGAAGATTTTCTGGTATACCACCCAGAATCTTCTTCAGGACAAAAACACACATGCTCCCAGTAGTCAGGAGTATTTGCTGCAAATGACTCATAGCTGTGGCTCTCTCCAGACCTTGCCCTCTATTGAAGGGAGCTCACTCAAAGTTATGTACCCCTCCCCAGGGCAGCTGAAATCTAAGGACTGGTCTTGGTGAGGTGACAAGGGCTCAGCTCTCTTGCTTCAGCTGTGGATATGCCTGAAGGCCCAGCCCTTCAGAATTCCCTGTGGGATTGGCTGAAGCTTCTGTTGAAAATACTTTGCAATTCTACATTTTCATCTGCCCAATCCTTCCTTCCCTCCCTCAGATTTTTGCTGTGAGCACACCCCAATAAACCTCCTGCACTCAAATCTCAGCATCTCAGAGTCTGTTTCCAGGGGATCTGAACCTGCATCAGAAATGCTATTTTAATTAGTTTGTTAGGATGGTTGGAACATGAAAAGAATGGAGCCATGAAGACCATCTAGAAATTGTAATAAACAATTGAATTGTAAACATCCAAGCAAGAGATATTTAAGGCCTAACTAAGAAAGTGTGTGTGGTGGGGAAGTAGACATATATTTAAAAGGCTTTTCAAAAGAAGCAGCAGCATTATTCTGTGCTGATTCAATATGGAAACTGAGAGAGAGGTAGGAGTCAAACAAGTTTAGACCTTTGGTGATTGACACAGAGGGAGGAAGGCGGTATTATGAGGAAGAGTTCCACTTAGATCTGTCGCATTTGAGGTGATGCTGTACACCTGAAGGAAATGTAGTTACTGTAATATATTTAATGGAAAATATCTAAATTGAGTAGTCAGCTCCTCAGCCATCCTTGTGAATAGATTTTTCTTACACAAGGCCTGTAGGTTAATGGGGTGAGCTTCATTAGACCACAATTGGAAGAATAATATATAATACTAGAGCTTTCTTCTCTTCATTGTTTCCACTTCCAGATTTCAGGTCTGTTAGCAAACATGCTCTGAGAGATGAACAATCTTTATAACATTATTTTTTCTTCTTAAAAAATAGAATGGGACAGAATAGATTATAAAATTGTGTAATGTACCAGGTAGAGACAGTTGTAAAATAAATAGGAAGTCTTTGGCATGCAATGGAGAGAAACATTTTAAAAAATTTAGATATTTAAATTTAAATAAGTTGAAATATAATATCTTTATTTTGCAGAGGAGGGAATAGACTTTTCAAGAGCACAGAACTATCAGAGGCATACAAACCAGATCAGCACATATGAAAAATGCTTTACATGACAATTTGATCAAGTCAGTCCGTCATGTTATATATTACTTTCCTTAACCCATCTGCAGTTTGGGAAAATTCTGTTTTTAAATTTCAATTATATGAGCCCCTCTCTCATATGCTCCTTTAGGCCATTAAGCTATTCATCTATAATAGATTTCCTTCCTTAGAAAGAGACAGCCACAGTAACTACAAAGGGTATTCCAATCAATTGGCACAATGTACTGCAAAGAAAGATATAAAGTGCATCAATGTGTTACTTCTCCACCACAGGCTATTTCTCACTAATGTGACTAAAGGCCTAATATTTTTCTACCTCCTAATCTTAGGCCAGTTCTCACACACTACCTGAAGGTGTGGTAAACCAATGCTTGTTTGCACACATTTTTTTTTCTTCCTTCCTTTCTTTCTTTTCTTTTCCTTCCTTCTTTCCTTCTATTTCTCTCTCCTTTTTCTTCCCTTTCTTCAATTCTCTTGTTCTCCCCCTCTTTCCTACTTTCCTAAACGTAGAGCTTGAGGCTTAAAGGGCAGCAAGTTGACTATAACAGTTCATAGAATGTAATTGCATGGGGGACAATTCTGTCTCTATGTCTGTGTCCTAACAGAGAACAAGATACATGGGTAAAGCATCAGCCAATAAAATACTGTACTTCCATTCAGAATCCCCCAAATTCTGTATTTATATTTCACTAGTATTTGGGAAGAGTTAATATTTGGTTAAGCTAAATCCTGCTGATACTCTTGACAAGATAACTTATAAATGCAGCATCAGCTGTAATTTTATCTTGTCTTCTCTTAATATCCCCCTACAGAGCATCAGTGCATTGATAGCA